GACCTGAAATTTCTTTTCGAAAGGCATAATTGATGAACCCGATAATTATATACTGTATAAATTATTTATTAGACAAAAAAGCAACTTCTACATAACACGAAAATTTTGATTTTTTTATATAAAACATTTTGTCACCGGGTCTGTACTATTTGCCGAGGATCGTGGTGCCCTCCAAGCTTTAGTTCGTTCAATAAAAAAACAAACGTAATTTTGGAACATGCGCGTTATTTATCAATCCACATGCGTACAGCCACTGGAAACAATAACAGCTATCTCTAAAAATTTATTATAATGCAAAATATGTACGTATCGAACGTACCATATAAGACTAATGAATATATGTTAAAAGGAAGTGTATGGAACAAGATGTCCATACGTAATATATAGGTATTTACAAAACACGAAAGAACAATGGATTTTCGGCAGATAAACTCATCTGCTAGAGACGCGTTTATCCTGGATGCTTTTCCAATATCATATTATTAAATAAAATTCCACGAAATACGTATACGACCCTTTGATAAATCGGCAAGTTTACCAAATGCTCGCGCTAAATCGTTTTAAATTAAAGTCATTAATTGATATGTGCATAAAAAAAGACAAGGCAGGATCGGCTAAATACAATGGATACTTACGACTCAAATCGATGTCACCTTTCTTGCAATCCGCGCACCTGTCCACAACGGTGACTATAACAGATTTCTTTCCAAAAGTCGCCTTTATCTTTTTTCCACAGCTCCTGTTCTTATTTGGATTACCACCAGGCGATGGATCAAATTGATCGTGATTCAAGGCGCAAACAAGTTGATTATCGTTATTTACTTTTCCACAAGCACCTAAGCCTACTTCATAGAAAGTAGCATCACCAGTGGAACTTCTCTTGTGATGAGGGAGTGAATCGTGGGAATCAATATTGAATACAAGGAGAATGGCAATGATCGCAAAGAACACGAATAATTTGGAATTGCCGAAAATTGAAGCCATTTTATGCACGAGTACTTATGAGAGAGTGTATGCAAACGAGATGAATTAATCTTGAGTCTGGTTGCTGTTTAAGGGTTTGTCAGATCAAAGCTTGCTTTGATTAGAAATATATACGATATTGGATTAAACGACGTCAAGCCGTAAATTAATATTGAGCAAGATGAGGTAGGCGGGCGAGGTTGGCAGAAGGTGAAATCTCATCATTTATATAGCAATTGAATATTGGGGTAGTTTATGCTTCAGAATAGATATTAACCCACCAATGAACACATACACAACTCGAATCTCAAAGATTTAATTACTTCAGTGGTACAAAGAGGATATAGGTCATCGGTTGAAGATACGTTTCAAATTACTCCACTTCACCCTATTAGAGCGAACAGGTACCGGAATCCAACCTTTGGGGCTGTTCATATCACATTACATGGTGAAATAAGGTTATAATGCATTGGACAGTCGTCTTATACAAAAAAAGTATGCAATTAGTTAATCGAACCAAAATGTTTCATATTTGACATGAGTTTCCTAACCTAGAATTGTAGTTTTGATTTAACAAATGATGTATGTAAGTAGTGATGCAAAAATACCATGCGTAAAGTAGTTCTGGCGAAAAAAAGAATCATATGTCAATTATGGACATGCATATCGCCGTATAGCGTTAAAGAACCCAAGTCTCGGCTTCAAGCCTATGTAAGTAAAATGTATCGAAAACTACTTATGGCCATCTATTAGGATTACGTCCCCTTTCGTTTCAGAACTCGGATAATGTACATGTGCTACTCATCTTTTGATATATCTTTCTTCTTCCATTCACACGTACGTACAATCATCGGAACAAAGTATTCATACAACTGCTGATTTAAAGCTTATAATTTAAACCCGCGGTTATATGAATCCTTTATTCAAATCTTCGGGATACCTGGATGAGCACTCACCGAAATTAATCACAAGCATACATTATCACTAGAAAGGTGGATAAAGAAAAAAAAAAAAATCTTTTTCCTTCACATTGTGCGCCGCAATAAGCAATGGAACGAAGCAATTTTCGATTTCTTGTGTAAGCTTCTCGATATTTCGTGCTGTTCCTTTATATGCCCTTATTTGGTTTGTGATATTACTTTATTCGAAGGATTAAATTCACGTGCAGATTGTGTGTACTCAAAGATTTACGCACTGAACTCTCCACGTATAGTATGCACATTAATCCGTTCCTGCATTGTCAGAATCATAATCTAGAAGGGATAAGAAACATTAGATAGCAACACCTGCGTTTCCTTCGTTATAACGGTAACTAACAAAACGTGCGCAAATATTTACGGGATTTTGTTTGTTTTCGTCGGATCGAATGTTCTACAAATTGCCTTTGTTATGCCTAAAGAATGGTTATAATATATTTGTCATACCTTTTCCAAAAGATTCGTGTGAAAGGCGACAATGTAATATGGGCATTTGTTTCAAATCTCTTTATTACCTCATTAATAATTTCCTTGATATCCTGTTGGGCAAATAAAAACAGTAGT